AACCATGAAGAACAAATGAAGAGAGAGAGAGAGAGAGAGAGAGAGATTTTTATTTTTTATTATTTTAAGAGAGAGAGATTTATTTTTATTTTTTATTTTTTTTAAATCTAAAAACCAGAAAAACAAATAAGAAAAAAGAGAAAATCATATAAACAGGGAAAAATCCGTCATTTTGAAAAAAAACAGAACAGATTGGACCAAACAAACAACAAAATGAAAACTTTAGATCTCTGATGCTAGTCCAAACATTTTTGGACCAAAGTGACAATTTTGAGCAAACCAGAGAAACCATGTGCAGTTTAGTCTAAGTTTTAATATAAAGTAAGGGGATAATGACTTAAAAGGGTAACTTATTTCTTGATTTGTACAAATTTAGTCACTGAGTTTTTTTTTGTTCATATTTTCCCATTGAATTTTTTGAACCGTTTAAAAAAATACCCTTATGACCTGCTATAGGAGGTATAGCCGGTTTCCGACATATCTGACAACTCCGGAGATGCTCCGTTCATCTTCTCCGGCGAAATATTATTTTTCCGGCTACAAGTGAAAACTCATTTTCTCCCTTTAAGTCATTCTTCATCTGCATCTTTTTTTGTAAGTTATTTCTTCAAATATCATTTTGAATTAGATAAACACAAAAACTCCAGATCAGATGAACACAAGAACCCCATATTAGTTGTTTCTTCAAACTCAAGAACACTAGGTCAGATGAACATACACACGATCTTCAACACAAACATAAAACCATACTTATTGTTCTGTGTGTGTTTTCCAGAAACACAAAGACCAAAAATCGAACTCAAGAACAACCTTAAGTCGAGTTGGGGTTTTTAACCCAGAAATCGATTTCCAAGAACAAAGAAGAAATCGATTTGGTGTGTTTTGAGTTCCTTGAAGATGAACACACTCAAATCGAGCTTGAAGGTATGACGAGTTCTTGAACACACTCAAACCCAGAAATCGATTTTCAAGATATGTGCTCAAAACCCGTCATGAAAACCCTTGAGTTCGTGTTTAAACAGATCGAAGGTATGTGTATGTGTATTCATTTTCATCTATGTTAGAATTTAAAAACTACTAAATCGATTTCCACATCTGAAAGTGAACTCGAAATCTAGGGTTTCAGGTGGGTTTTTTTTTTTTTAAAAAAAATCGATTTCTGAAAAATAACTTACCTGAAGGGCTGAGTTTGTGAGCATAATCTGGAAAGAATTCGACTTTCAGGTGGATTCTTCATATATAAACTCGAAATCTAGGCTTATTCTGGTGAGTTTGTTCATGATGTTCTTCAAATCTTTGTCTGGTTCATTAAGGTTTGTTCATTGTGTTCTTGAGAGCTTCTTCAGATTCAAGTTTGTGTGTGTGTGTGTTAGATCAGAAATTGCAACCCCTGTTTTCAGAAATTAAAAATCATTACATTGATTTTGTGTTTTGCTAGATCTGTCATGGATGGACTTGTTTTACAAATCTGTATATGTATTAGATAAACACGAATCCAGAATATCATGTGTGTGATTTCAGGAAAAAAAATGGGTTTTTACTTGTCGCCGGAAAAATAATGTTTCGCCTGAGAAGATGATCGCCGGAGTTGTCAAAGACGCCGGAAACCGGCTATACCTCTGATAGTAGGTCATAAGGATGTTTTTTGAACAGTTCAACAAGTTCAATAGGAAAATATGGACAAAAAAAACTCAATTACTAAATTTGTACAAATCCGAAATAAATTACCCTTTTAAGTCATTATCCTAAAAGGTACCCGATTGGAACCGATATTTCTCTGAATCTTTCAAACCTTGGCAGAATGGCACGACAAGATTCCACCACAATCATCGACTAAAAAGATTCTCTCGCCATGAATACTCGTGTCCTCGTCTCAACTTCACTCGTTCTTCTTCTCTCCCTCCTACTGTCACTTCATCTCCACAATAATCACAGTTAACCAAACATCCTTCCTTCCAATCTTCAATTTAATCACTTATATCCACCTCAATTCATTTCATCAACAATTCAAATTCTTGCAGATGAATCCAGCTGGAGCAACCGATTATGGTGGTTATCATCGAAATCATCCTTCTCTTCAGGAATTGCTGATGCTGACCTGTTGGTGACGAATGGGACGATATACACCAGCGATTCCTCTCTCACTTTTGCTAATTCCATGGTTATTCGTGACGGGAGAATAATCCGTATTGGCAACTATTCGTTTGTTCGGGTAAGATATAGTCAAATTGCCAAATACTTTGTTTTCAGCATCAACTGTGGTGCTTCTAAAATATGAAACGTTGTGAATTAATTTCACAACTACTCCAGAATATGGAAAAAGATTAGCAAGAAAAACACTATTTAGCATTGAAGACGACTATCTGAGCATTCTGTTTTTCAAGGCTTTGTGTAAACTGTAAACTATATGCAAATGCAGGAAATGTCTGGATATGGAACAAAAGAGTTAAATCTTGAGGGAAAAGTTGTTGTTCCTGGATTTATTGATTCTCATGTCCATTTGCTTTTTGGAGGACTCCAGGTTCTAAAATCCCTCACCTTCTTCATATGATATACATAAAACATTTGTGTTTTGTTCTTTTCAGTTTAGGGCTAAATGCAAATCATAGCAACATACTTTAATTTATTTGTGTATTATACCATTCTACTTTCATTTCTTTCTCCATTACAACATTATACTTTAAATATATTTATCTTACAAGCCATTAATTCTATTTTGAAAATTCTATTTTTTTCTCATCAAGACTTCATTTTTAATGTACTTCCAACTATGATATGCTGATTGAGTTAGAAGTGAAAACAGATGGCACGGGTAGAAGTTCGAGGTGTCAAGACAAAAAAAGACTTCATTGAAAAGGTTAAAGAAGCAGTGAAAAGTAAGTGTTTTCTGTATTTACAATTTTGTTTCACTCTTGGATATTTTGGAAGTTTTGTAAATATGGTTATGGGACCTACAACATGATATACATCTCTTCATCATCTTTGTAGACTTGAAAGAAGGTTCTTGGTTGTTGGGTGGTGGATGGAATAATGATCTTTGGGGAGGAGAATTGCCATCAGCATCTTGGATTGATGATATCACACCTCATCATCCTGTAAGAAAAAACCAAATACAAATTATATAAACTGTAATTAAACCCCAATTAATCACAATTAGTCTTTTCAATCTTGACAGGTATGGCTTTCAAGAATGGATGGCCACATGGGATTGGCTAACTCTTTAGCTCTAAAATTAGCTGGAGTTACAAGTAACATGCAAGATCCAGTTGGTGGAACTATTAGCAGAAATGCAAATGGAGGTATCATAATATTATATATGATTATTATATTCTTGGATTCATTTTGTAAACTCATGTAAAATCATTACTATATGCAGAACCTACAGGCCTTATGATTGATTCTGCAATGAAAGTTGTTCTTTCATGCATTCCAGAAGTTTCTGTTGAAGAAAGAAGGCAGGCATTAGAAAGAGCTAGTAGGTATGCATTGATGAGGGGTGTCACAACAGTTGTTGATTTTGGAAGATATTTTCCTGGAGCATCATTAGAACATTCATGGGAAGATTTTGAAGGTTTAGTGTCTGAAATGACCATTTTACCCTTACATTCCAACAAACAATTTACTCAATGTACATCAATTTTAACATAAGAGGATTTTGGAGGCAATTAAAAGAAAAGGGAAAATAAAATAATTTAATGGTTAAATCAATAAAATAAAGTGTTGACTTTCTTGTTAATTTCAGATGTTTACAAATGGGCTGATTTATCAGGAAGAATGATGATTAGGGTTTGCCTTTTCTTTCCAATGCCAACATGGTCACGTTTGCTTGTATGACTTTAGTTGACTACTAACTACTTCATGATAATTTTTCTATGTTTACTTTTTCTAATGAATTAAATGTTTAACATTAAATTTGATGTTCTTGTTTTCTTTTTAGGATATAATAGAAACAACAGGGCGTAGGCTGAGCCAGTGGATATTCTTAGGTGGTGTTAAAGCCTTTTCTGATGGATCCTTAGGATCTAACAGTGCACTTTTTCACGAGGTGCAAATAAGTTTTATTTTTTTTTTCTTTGTTTTCTAACTTATTATTATTAAGTCAATGGGATAACATTTCATTCATGTTTCTTGTAGCCATATGCTGATGAGCCTTGGAATATTGGCCTCCAAGTTACAGATATGGAAAGCTTATCTAATATGACTGTTCAATCCGACAAATATGGCCTCCAGGTATTTTATTTTTTTCGTTTATCTTTAAAAATGTGCTTGTAAATATGTAAAACAACTTATCAGTTGACAAACAATTTTTTCATCAGGTTGCTATTCATGCTATTGGAGACAAGGCCAATGACTTGATCTTGGATATGTATAAATCAGTTGTTTCAACAAATGGGAAGAGGGATCGAAGATTTCGGGTATATGTTATTTAAAACTAAAACTATTATAAATCATTTGACATCAATCTTTATCACAGTCCAATTCATGTCAGACACAGTACATGACATAGGTGGCCTTAAGGTCCTGTTTAAACCTATGGGAGTATGGGTATTTATATGAGTCCTCAAGGTTCCCTTATTTGTTTTTGATTGAGGGTATTTAGGTAATTTATGAATAGTTGTATAATTATTCATAGATGTTTCTATGAATTAGTAATCCCTTTTTTGTAGATTGAACATGCTCAACATTTGAGTCATGGAAGTGCAGCCAAGTTTGGTGAACAAGGGATTATTGCTTCAGTGCAGGTAATTTATTTAAAGGGTAAAAGTTATTGATAATAAAAGAAAGTTTCTTTACAGTCTACAGACACTATGTGGGACTCCCACATGGAAATAAAATAAAATATGTTACTATTATGGGTTAAAAGTAAAATACATTAAAGAAATATATGAATACATTGCTATTATGGTAAAAAAAAAAGTACATTGCTTGACAGCCAGATCATTTGCTGGACGATGCTGACTCAGCAATTAGAAAAATCGGGGTAGAGAGGGCGCAAAAAGGATCTTATTTATTTCAGACACTCCTTACTAGCAATGCACTTGTTGCATTTGGTTCTGATTGGCCAGTGAGAACTCTTTTTCTTTTCTACACTCACCTTTTTAGGCTCTGTTTATAATGACATGACATGACATGTTGTACTGCTTTTGTTGGGATTGGGACAAAAGTAAGCACTTTTTTGTCGCACCCAGAAAGGTCCTCCATCTCTTGTCTGTGTAAAAGACGTAAATGTCCTCCTCATTACTGATAGAAAAATTTTAGGTAGCAGAAATCAATCCTTTGAATAGCATAAAGACTGCAGTTAAAAGGAGGCCTCCTGGTTGGGATAAACCTTGGAATTTAGGCGAGTGCATGAAGCTTACGGATGCATTAAATGCGTAAGTAAACATGAAATAGCAACATACTTTCATTTTTATTTGTGCATTAGATCATGATTCTTCCTGTTTATTTGTTTATGCTTTTCAGGCATACTATTTCAGCTGCTGAAGCATGCTTTCTTGATGAGGAAATCGGGTCATTATCTTCTGGAAAAATGGCTGATTTTGTGGTGCTGAATGCACATACTTTGGATGACTTAATAACACAAGAAGAAACCTCTTCAGTTGCAGCTACATATGTTGGTGGTGTGAAAGCTTACCCTTGATATTTATGATCCGTGTACACAATTGTATAACCAGAACTAAGAACTAAACGTAATAGAACGAGACCATTGATGTCAATGAGACAAAAATTCCAATATTGTGTTCCACACGAAATGGTGGAACATTGGCTCGCTCTCAATCTCTCGTATGTGCAAAAGACACAAATGCCCTCCCCATCATGAGAATAGCCTTAGAAAGCTGGTCCTCTCCCATGTAACAAAACGAGAGTTATGAGGCAAAATTACTTGTTTTCTTTATCTTATCTATTTGATCTATAATATGAATCTTAATGTAACACCACTATATATGAATTTCTCAGTTTACAAATTTAAACCATATTGATGATATGTTGTTGAGTTGTTATGTCATTTTAAGAAAAAGTAGGGCGGGTCCAAACATATTTTGGGTTCGGGGCGAGAGGAAATAAAAATGTCCTTAAAAAGACACAAGTATACCCAAACAACAAAAATATACTAATTTAAAGTGTATATATATATATATATATATATATATATATATATATATATATATATATATATATATATA